GCCAAGGTCCCCCTTTATATAAAAATTCTTTCGGACTTCGGGATGGACAAGGCGTGGCTCAAAGTGACCTGACAGGAAATAAAATAAATAAAAATAGATGCGAAAATACGAGAATTTGAAATAAATTCCAATGGTATAGAATAAGTATGCGAGGAAATCTAGTGAAAGTAAAATAAACAAAATAATAAAAGAGCCGCCAGCATCGCACCTCCGCAACCTCCTCAAGGCACACCAGAAACATTCGTCTACGCGTTCTCACCGAGTCTCCTCCCTGGCGGCGGTGTCGCTGGTCCATCATATTTTCCCTGGACCTGTTTACCCATCCCCCGCCGCGACCCATTGACTCTGTCATTCTTCCCTTTGGCAATCTTGCCTATTTTTGCCTTTTTCCCCTTACCTGTCCTCTTAGTGTTTTGGTACTCCCATTCCAATACTCCTCACTTTATTTATTCAAACATTACTTCTATCCCCCACTCCGACCGCTCCGCCGCCCCAATTGTGTGTACACCTTTTCCCCGGTCTCTACATGAACTTCTCTCTGGGAGTCCCGTTACCTTTTGGTTCGGAGTGATGTTTCGGTGCAACCTTAGGTGTTTTTATGCTATTTATATTATGTTATGTTATTATATCCCATCCTTTCTCTATCTCCACCCCACAGCAAAAATAAAAAATAACCACAACTCCACACAATCCAATGTTTCAACCCGAAAAACATCACTGTTTTCCAATTTTCTTTATTTTGTATTTCCTACAAATTTAGGGTTAAAAAAACATCTTGTAATTTAGACTTTTTTAATTAAATTTTTAAATATTACAGTATGTCCGCTGTAGAGGACGTGGGGACCCTTTTAGTGTGAAAAGACAGACACAATGAACAGATAGACTCTACGTATTATAGAGTGATATTAATAAAACAATACATTCACCTTTATTCAAAACATGAATAACTCATTGATCTGAACCTCGCTGTTTGTTTGGTCACTAAGAAACTAGTTTGGTTTTTGGTGAATCTTTCCAGATCTTCAAAGACCTGTAGTCAATGTACATAAGTTTTTTGTATAATTTAGAGTAGAATTTAATAACGAATTAAACAACTATTTTTATACTTTTGTGACTAGAGACGGGACGGTGGAACGACACTTTGTGTTCCTGTACGGGTGTGACTGGAGGGAAAAATTGATAAGTAAGTTTGTAAATACAAAATGCAAAGGAAATTTTCAAGTCAGCAACGCACTCAATTTTTTTAATTTGTATAGAACACAAACTTACTTAAAAAAGGATTGTTTATGTCTGTCAGATTTTATATATACACCTCGTAACACGCGTCGACTGAATCAACGCAACGTCGGTTCTGTGAAGTGGGGTTTTAAAAGGAGGAGACTCGCCTAACAGGTGTCATAACTTTCATACATTCAGCGAAACCTATTTTTCGCCAAGTTTGTTCACGTTGTACAGTACAAGTACGATTACATTACTTCGATTACAGTAACGATTTACGATACTTACAGTACGAGTACAATTTACATTACAGTACAGTACATACAATTACAGTACATTTTATGGTCTAAACTTGAGAACCTTCCTTAACCCAAACGAAAGGTCCCTTTAGGTTCCAAAAGTAAACACGTCATTTTTTTTTTTGGTAAGAATTTTTGCCAAAATCCCTCTGCCAACTTTCCGGTAATAAACAGCCCAAAGTCAGAGAGATCGGTAAGATCATAAACCAACATCAAATCAGGAGAATACTTTAGTTTTTTTGTTTTTAATATGTCGGTTGTTGGTGAATAACAAGACATTTTCACCGAGTGACCTCGTCGTTGTATTACTGACTAATTGCTAGACGCTACGCCACAGATCTCTGATCCAAGTTCCAGCTATATAGGAGAACGTCGTTATGCTCTGAGTGGAATTATTCTATGTTGATTTTCCAAATAACTGGTTAATACAGTTTGTGTACTCGATTACTGTTATCTAATAGGATTATCGCTGGGGTTAATAGACGACCCCAAGGTGATACACCACATAGGGGCGTACTGGTTTAAATATTTTGTACCTCACAATTTAACTGGGTGTTGGTCACCTGGGTGGATCTCCTCCCGGTCCCTTGTTATTTTATGGTACCGCATTGTTTTTTGTCGTTGTCCTTTATTGAAAGTATTTTATTTGATATTTATACCCGTTTTATTATTAATTATTTTTGTTAACCAATACAAGTAATTTTTTTTACAATATTCCCTTTACCGGTGTGCCGCAGGTCTGACTTGTTTTCGTTATCTTTTTTTTTTTGGGCCTCCACTATTTTTTACCTTTTTGTTCTTTGTCACCTTCAGAGGCGTAGACGACGGTATGTACCCCCCCTTTTGTCGCACCCCCCCCCACGCCCACCCCACCATATAATATATTATATCCCATATATACCCCACACACCACCCTATATACA